GCCTTTTTATTTTCGTTGTGGGGGGGTGTTCCCTCTCCCCCCCCCCCCCGCCCCCTTCTCTTTTTTTCTTCTGTTACATGCCCTGACATGTCTTTTGTGTGTGAGTGCAATGGTCCTGAGCATATCTCAATGCAGCAGATTCTAGTTTCGGTCAGAAAACTGATAAACAGCCCTCTTTTAACTTGTTTGGTCTGGGCCAGTGGGAAAAGCATGGTTTGGTTTGGATTTTGAGGGCTGTTACAGGCTGAGTGTCAGACCTCTTGTCCAGGGCTGGGAATCTCTTGGTACTTTTAGGCAAATACAGAGCAGATTGTGAACTGAAAAGACTATCCTAGTGTGGCCTTTCAAAAGAAAGACACTTCTCTGCTTGGGTGTACCTGGACTTCATTTCTGATATAGGAGACATAGCGTTGCTGAATGGGATTCTGTCAGTGGGGAAAAATCCAGGAACTTTTTTTTTTAACCTGTTACATAATCTAAGCTGGTAAGATGAGCTGATATTTAGCCATTTCACTTATATCCAGTAATATATCAGCGGATGACATGCTATATACAGAAACAGACCTTGAAGAGAGCATGGACAAAATTGAGACCATCAACTTCCATGAAGTGAAAGAGGTGGCAGGAATCAAATTCTGGTGTTACCACGCAGGCCATGTTCTGGGAGCAGCCATGTTTATGATTGAAATAGCTGGTGTGAAGGTATTTTCTTTTTATTACAAAGTTGAAATCGAGACTGAATTCTAACTTGGTCATTAATTTTTTATTATTGTCTGTTAAGCCCCACCACTGTGGCTGGAGCTGTCAAATAGGCTTGGACTCAAGTCAAGGTGAGAAGCCTTGACTTAGATCATGTATTTTCTCATTGCTTAGAACTAGCAAGTGAAACATGTGTATTGAACGAGGTAGAATGTTTGAATCTGATGCGAGTGAGTTATTACTCAGTAAACATGTAGTTTTCCTTGCTGGTCTGCTCAGAGGTAACTGATGGCTGAGGCAGTCTTATGGAAGCTGCATTTGAGTAAAATCTATAAACAGATGTTTGTTTTTATAATTCTGATTTACCATGTCTGCCTGTCTGAGTGCTTAAATGGCATTCGTCAAAGTATGCGCGTTACATTTTTCTTACAATGCTCTTATGCTAAAGTGCCTAAAGAAATCCTAGTATTATTCCTTTTAGGGACAGAGAGATTAAATAATTCATCATATAATCACAGGCAGCGCTGTGTCAAAACCAGATACTTGAAACTAATCTCATGAATTGGAGTTTCAGTAGGATAATTACCGCTCAACAGAAGTTTCATACAGCCTTGAAAACGGAAGAGGGATGGTGGTCCTGAGGCTTGCTGTCCAGTCAGACTTTGTTCACACTCTATAATGATTGAGACATTTAGAAGCTTCAAGTTTAAAAAAAGTATAGAAATAGAAGTGAATTTACAATTATTACAATAAAATTTAGATATCTTACTGCCTCTTTTTTTTTTTTTTCTGGTTAAGACATGATTGAGAAAGATTTCCCTCTTACTATGCATGACTTGACTGGAGTGGGTTTTAACATCCATCGTTTTGCGTAATTCCCTGTGAAGCAAATGAGGAATGTGATAGTAGGCTACCTGTAGACCAGTTTGCTGCTGCTGCTGACTATATGTTTTGTTATTATTCACATTTTTATCAGTGGGATGACTGTTAAGTAAAAAACGTTCAGTTTTGAAACCGTTTTGGGCACAATTGCATTCCACCCTGCAGTTATGAATCCATTAAAAATTATTAACAGTTACAAATTACTTCTTGGTGTAATGGGGAACATGATCATTCCATTTGAAAAATCTGCTAGATTACAGGCTTTTTTTAAACTATCAGAAAATCTTAGAAGGATTTTTTTGAGTAATTTTATTGGATTATTCATTATATTTACATTCCGATATGTAAATGCTGATTTGTCTACTTTGTACTTCCACTTGGGACCTTCTGTTATGTCAATTTTTACTTCTTAATGGTCAGTGCATGTATGCAAAATGATGAAAATTGCACCTTTATATTCCAAAAGAAAGAAAAAAAACTTAGTAATTATGTATCCAATTCTTTTGCAATTAAGTTACTGCTTGAAATACCTTTGCTTATTGTGGTTAATGTATTTGTGTGTAGTACTATTGACCTGATATTGTAAGCATTGTCCACATCAGAAGAGTAGTTGAAGTACAAGTGACTTTTTTTAATCATAAATTCCTTAAAACTATCTTTGTATAGGAATGATACTTTTTTAAGCAGCTTTTTAAAGACTGCTGACCTGGTAGAATCTGTAAGCAGAATAACTGCCTCTCTCTGTGTCTCATAGCTTCTATATACAGGTGATTTCTCAAGACAGGAAGACAGACATCTGATGGCAGCTGAGATTCCCAATATTAAACCCGATATTCTTATAATTGTAAGTGTTACAAAAGTATTTCTTTAAACTAGTAATTAAATAAGTATAGGGGTATTACTTAATTAGAGGTAAAATGGAATGAGAAAGACAGTGCAGGTTTAATGGTAGTACATGATTTACATTAAATATCCAATAAATATCCTTAGGTGTTCAGAATGCTCCAACATTTCTTTTCACTGTATTTAAAAAATACAATTTTTGTTTTACAATCCTTCTGATGAAGTTCCTCAAGCCTCTAGGAAAACCTTCACAAGATGGGAGATGTACTAGGTTTCAGCTTGTCCTTGCTAGATGTATTGTACAAATCTCAGTTTAGCCAGATACCTTTCTTTAGTAGATCCTAACCTACTTCCAACTATGTTTGTTGAGCATTTGTCCTGGGTGCAGGTGCCCTGAGTGCTATTCTGTATTTTTTTGGTTTTGTTTTCTGAGCAAAATGTTTTTATTCTAAATACCTGTTTGGAAAATCAGAAGCTTAGGGGAAACATTAAAAGCAACTGTTTCATTCTGAAATTAACAGTGAGATCTTTCAGAGTAATGCTTAGAATCATTTCATTCTTTGTGTCCCTTCTAACTGCATTCTGTAACTGATAATTATTTAATTTTAAATCACATCAAAAACTTGACTTTATGTAATTCCTATACTTTAGACTAGGTCATAGTCTATGTTATAACTATGACATAGTTTCTAAACTATGACATACATACCACTAGCAAGCCATGTTAGCATGATAACCCGCTCATCAAAGCAGTGGCAGCATTTCCAGTTAGAAAAATAAGCATGTTAAATTTAAAACCTCCTAAAAAAAGCATAAAAATTAATAGTTCTACTTTTTTTTTTTTTTTTCCCCCTTCCTGACCCAATCTGTCTTCCCAAATTGCAGGGAGGGACTTGGGGGACAGGAAATCTTTATTATCTTGGTGGTGGTGGTTATGGGAATTTGGGGTGGTTCTGATTTTTCCCTTTACCCCTCTGCCCCCTGCATGGTAGCAACATACAACGTTTTTCTGTGTTTCTTGTTGGATTCAGAGGAGAAGATCAGGAATTAGTCCCTGTGTCAGTACATTTAATACTAGGTTTCTCTGTACGTAGGAATCCACGTATGGTACTCATATTCATGAAAAAAGGGAAGAGCGAGAGGCAAGATTCTGTAATACCGTTCACGATATTGTAAATAGAGGAGGTAGAGGTCTTATTCCTGTGTTTGCCCTGGGTCGAGCTCAAGAACTACTTTTAATTTTAGGTATGTACCTTCCCAGCTCCTTTTAATAAAAAGCATATAAAGTTAAATGAGAATGTTTTCATGTGCAGGTATAATGATTTTTTTAAACAACTATTCAGCCATTTTTCAGCATGTTAATTACTTAGAATATGTAATACTGGTTGTTCAAATGAAAAAAAAACAATTAACTAACCAAGGCAGTTCTGTTTTGTGAGGCGGAAAGGACACCTAGAAAGGAAAAGGTAATGGCATGGTAATAGGTGCTTGACTTCTCAATCTTGTTGATCTGGGATTTCAGCAAATAGGAACTATTACTATAGATTCAAAAGGATGTTCTATTTAAACAATATTGCTAAAAAAAGGTATATTTTGTTCCAGAGTGTCACTATCTTTGCTGTTTAATTCACAAACCTATATGAAGAGATCTTAATAGGAAAAGCTGAGAAGACCATAACAAGCACTAATAGCATTTCTGAAGTCAATAATGATAGTGGGAAAGCAAATTAGACTTTGTTAAGAAGAACAAAAATGAGGGGTGTGGGGTGTGGAATTACACTTGATCATAACAAGCCACTTCACATAAAATATAGACGCAGTTGTTACAAGGTACTTCAGAGAAAACAGTTTTTAAATAAATTATTTCCAGCCATCTTTGCTTCCATTTAGCACATTTAATTTGTACTATGTTACGTAATTTTTTCACTAGTCTTTTTGCTCATGCGAACGCTGCCAAGGTCAAAAGATAACTATCTCAAAATTAAAATACTTACTTTTAGGGGTGATGAATCTAAAATGTTACCTAAAATACTTGAAATTCTTTTAACTTTCCATTTTAGCTCAACATTAGAAACTAGTATGTCTTCAAAATGTGTTACTGGACTATCCAAATATTAATAAGAAATTTTACATCTAGGTATGGGATACTATTCAATGTTGGATTATTTACTATTTATCATTGATTGAGTTTTTTGATTTTATAGAGGAGATAAAAACTGAACATTTTAAATCTTGTGTAGCCATTAGTTTGTAATTTGTTGGCCTCTCCTTGCTGCGTGTAGATATTAAAGTGAGTTCCTAAAGATAAGCTTGAAAACAGATCTAGTAAAGCTAGACATGTAATTGGATGCTTAATTAGGTAGAAAATGCAATTGCATCTCACATGCCTACACAACTGAGCCCGCAGGCTTCTGTGTTTGTGTTTCTTCTTTCCATGAGTGTCTGACAAAAAAGAAAGTACTGCATTATGGAGTAGAAAATTGTGACGATGGGTGCAGTCTTTTAACGTTGCCCTAAGACCCGGTATTGGTTATCTTTTATTGGCTGTTTCTACCTTAGACTTGAGCTTATTAAGATAGTCATGGCAATGAGCCTCTATGACATGTTCTGAAAAGCTTTGTCTGCAGATCAAAGCTATTAGGTTAAAGCCATATCATTTTAAATGTACAAATACAGCCAAAAGAGCATACCACTCTTTTGGGATGATTGTTCCCCACTTATGCAATATAAATATGTTTTAGACTAGCAGATCTGTATATCCAGGTGGGAAAATGAGTAAATGATGTTTGTATAGCTGCGTTCAGATCTGTGTTTAGTAAAGGTCATGGCTACTGTCATCAGTGATAAAATAAATTGTGGTTAATGAAGGTTTTTTTCCTGGTTTTGTTTCAGTTAAGTTTGTAAAATATAACTGTTGGTGATACACAGGAAGCCAGGCTTGATAACTGGGTGATCCCTTCGTACCTTGTACTCCATGGATTTGTTTTACAGGACTTTGATACAGTGAATTCTCACCAACATACCTACATGCAGATATCCCTAGCTGTTAGATGTGTAATTAATATTTGACAGACACATTTAAGCTTTATTGCAGTGGTGTGGTAAAACTTGTGTTGTTGTAAATGTAGTTTTATTGCTGTGCAATACCATGTGTACTTATACCTTGCAGCTGAAGTTGGTGATTGATTGGAATTTGATCTGCCAAAAATATCTGAAGTTCATCTTTATCTTGTTTGTCTGCCTGTTTGTTTGTACTAGTTGTGTGCATTTTTAGTTGGCTATTGCTTTTTCTTTTTTTGTAGAGCAGGCGAGGAAAAAAAAAATCTGTGATTGTGATTTGTAATAAAAATTAAAAAAAAAAACCACTGGTAAATCTGTTTTACAAAAAGTATTAACGTTTCTGAGAAATGTGCATTTTGAAGATAATACTGGGCAGGGGGTTATGTGGGTTTTTTTGTTGGTGGGGTTTCTGTGGTCGTTCTTTTTAATTGTTTCTGTTTTTTTTAGATGAATACTGGCAGAATCATCCTGAACTCCATGACATTCCTATATACTATGCCTCCTCTTTGGCAAAGAAATGCATGGCAGTTTATCAGACGTATGTCAATGCCATGAATGACAAAATTCGCAAGCAAATTAACATCAACAATCCATTTGTTTTCAAGCATATTAGTAATCTGAAGGTAAGCTTGAGATAAGGTTGTCTTACAAAAGAGGTAAGGTGACAGAAGAGTTTGTATTTGCTGAGTAGTTGGCACATTTACTATCCTAATAGATTCATCAGTTACAGGTCTGTTTCTGAATTATCTGCTGTCCCAGTGTTTAGAGGGCTGGTTGAGGGGAGCTTATGCCCTGATTTTTCTTCCACTATAGATCCCTGTGCTTATAGTTTGCTCCTTACGGTCATAAGAAGGAGGAACTTTCCGTAAAGGGCACTTTTTATGAGGATGGGGTATAATCTGGGAACATAGGGCTGTACTGGTACGTTGTTCAAGGGTGCAGCTAGGCTGTCCTTCCTTTAAGTGAGTTATGGTAACTGATATTCTTGCTGTTTCTTCACTTAGAGTATGGATCATTTTGATGATATTGGCCCAAGTGTTGTGATGGCTTCCCCAGGTATGATGCAGAGTGGCTTATCCAGAGAGTTGTTTGAGAGCTGGTGCACAGATAAGAGAAATGGAGTAATTATAGCAGGGTACTGTGTTGAAGGAACGCTTGCGAAGGTGAGTTGTTAATGCACCACAGATTCTTAATATGAAGTAGTATTCATGTTATGTTTAAAAAGAATCGGCTGATAGTAAGTGTCTTTATTTGGATTTACTGAGAAGATTGTTGCCAGCTATGCATAATAATGTAGTCAAAACTAATTGCTTTGGCTAATACTAATGAAAAGTACAGAAAATTTGCACATGGCCATTTACAGCAATGTTATACAGAATAATATTTTCTAGGAGCAGTTATCTTGCCATGAGAAAGAATGATTTTCTCTATCTTTAGACCCCTCCTCCATTTTTGAGAGGGGAGCCTTAACCCTAATTCTAGAGGAGTCGATGTGAAACCTAACACTACTTATGTGTCAGAGATCAGACTGCCTTGCGCACGTTGTGCCACTGCCCAGTTGTAAAGAATGAAATCCTTCCTTCCAAAGTCCAGCAGCTAAGGGCAACCAGAGCATCTAGTTTTGCCTCTAGAGATAGAAGTCACACACTTGTTATAATTTCAATGCAAATTTGAGAGATGTATCTGGAAGAATGAGCTCCCAGATCTGGTGGGAATGCAAAAGATGGAAGGTTGTGTGTTGTGCATGCTTTTTTCATTTCTGAGTGTGTTTTGTGAAATTTGAGAGATTTTTTTTCAGTTCTTCACATTTAACCTGGCTGCCAATACTATTTCATTGATTTTTGAAATGTAAAGCAGTAGTTATATGGTGCCTGTAGGAACCTGTCAATTTTTTATTTCAAGTGTTTTGGTTTTTTTTTTAGCACATAATGTCTGAACCTGAAGAGATCACAACGATGTCAGGGCAAAAACTCCCACTGAAGATGTCTGTGGATTACATTTCTTTCTCTGCTCACACAGATTATCAACAAACTAGTGAATTTATCCGGGCCCTGAAACCTCCACATGTGGTTAGTATACATGCTCCCCATTTCTCCAGAGTGGGTTTCATCAAACCAGTTCACAGCCTTGAGTCATCAAGGCAGGGACTGGTATCTAGCAGTAGCCAGCATCCCTATGCTTTGAATAACAAAAGGTGGAGATTTTAACCATTTTTTTGTCATGCTACCTTAGCAAAGTGAAGATGAGCTTGTTTTTGACTGTCTGCATGTGGGATATTTGGGGATGATCAGGTATGATCCGTAACCTGTTCAGCAGTGTGTTGTACAAGGAGGATACAGTATAGGACAACGTGAAGTTGGGGACACTGATACTGTAATAATTCACTGGAATTTCCCCCCAGATAAACAAGAAGACATTGATTGAAAAAGAGTAGGCCAATCTGAAAGAAAGTATGCAGCATTCAGCAAGAGACAAAGGCAGCACTTGTGGGGAAAAGCATGAGCAGAGTGCAGGAGGTGTGAAGGAACAGAATATGAAAATGAGGACTAGGATCTGAAACTTGCTGAGACTCGGGGAGAATCAGTGTGTGAGCACAGATAAGAAATAAAACAAATCGTAGTGGAAGAAAAGAGGTTTTAACTCAGGAAAGAACATTGTGAACTTAATAAGCATACTCTCTGAATTGCATGTTTATTATGTATATGTTTATCTACATGCAGACACAAAAATGTAAAGCAAACTAACTTTTATTGTTGGATTTAATACTTCCCTTTCATAATGTAATAATGTGTTTGTGTATGAACAGTTAAATGGAATCTGTAATGCATTCTGCTTATTTGCATGTATTTTTCTAGTAATACTCAGGGTCGTGAAATCCAGACCTTTGAATAATGCATGGAATTCAAAGACACACAGAACTGTATGTAGTATAATTGAGCTAATGTTTTATATATTGTGACCTCATGAAATTAAATTTTGGTGAAGATGAGGTACAAGGTGGCAGTTTTCTTGGATAATTTGTTTACTAAGCATGTCTGGTTGGACAAATAACTTTTGCTAAAAGAAAAACTGTCTTTCCTATAGATTTTAGTTCACGGTGAGCAGAATGAAATGGCCAGGTTGAAAGCAGCATTGATACGGGAATATGAGGATAATGATGAAGTTCATATAGAAGTTCATAATCCTAGGAATACTGAAGCTGTGACATTAAACTTCAGAGGAGAAAAACTTGCCAAGGTATAAAATGAATATTTTCTTACTTGTACAACAGTATTTTCCTCTGGCATAAAGAGTACACATTTTCTTTCAAGCCTCTATTTTTAATCAGGTTTGGATTGTGTATGTTTTACAGGGACTCCAAGTATGTCCCTGTTTGGGTTTAGTGTTGTATTTGGGGGGGGTGGTTTTGTTTTTTGTTTTTTCTTGGCTCTTCACTCTTCTAACCTTTTCTTGTGTTACTTCTCAGAATGTTTGTTGGTTACTGTGACTTAACTTTATTTTCAGAGTTAATTTTATACATTGTCTGATTATTCTGAGGTAACTGTGTTTAATCTCCATAGTTAACTTAAAGCTGTGAAGACTTTGGTTTGCCTTGTTGCACAGTGTGTGTTTTTTCTTTCCAGGTGATGGGATCTTTAGCAGATAAGAAGCCAGAGCAAGGACAAAGAATTTCTGGAATCTTAGTTAAGAGAAATTTTAACTATCACATCCTTTCTCCATGTGACCTCTCCAGTAAGTAAAGACAGTAATGTGCTCAATAGGTAATTGAAACTTACTGTACCCTTCTTCTGTCATTAAAACACATACAATACTTCTTTTTTTCCCCTGTAATCTTGTGTTTGATAAACAATTAATGAACATCTTGGTTTTATTTTGGCTTAGTTTTGCCTAAAGTTCAGAACTGTTGGAGTGAGAAGAAAGGCATTCAAATTCACTGTCCATTGACGTTTAAAGTAATTTCTGTTCCTTTCTGTAAAAGAAAAGAAGCAAAATTCTGTTCCCCTTCTGGTTACTTAAAGCTTCTTCCTCTATATGAATATGCATAAAACATGCCTGTGAGCAAAGCACCTTGATCAATTCTGCTGGTTTCTAAAATGTCATTAGTTTTTAGTGTAAAAAGCCACGGTACAGTGAAAGTACTGTGTATTGCTCCTATGCTATTTATTACTAAAGAAATTGATCTATTCTCAAAATAGAATAATAATTAAATGGAGTAGTAATGTCAGAAGAGCTTGGGGGAAGGCAGTTCTACTGTCCTAGTTCATTGTTTGCCTTTAATGGGTATGATAAAGCAACAAGCTCTTGCTGGTTTCTTAACCACAGATACATTATTTATCGTACAATAGACTGTCCACCCTTCTGTCTTATAAATTGTCCTTTTCAACCCTCTATCTTAAGTGTATCGATGCCATTATTTATAGTCACAATTTTTTTTTTAGGAAGTAAATTCAAAGGCATAATTTTTAATATGTACTTTAAAAAATTCTTTTAGATTATACAGACTTGGCGATGAGTACTGTAACACAGACGCAAGCCATTCCATATACTGGCCCTTTTAATCTGCTTTATTATCAGCTACAAAAACTTACCGGTGCGTATTTGGAAAGACATGTTCATGATTTATAGCAGTCAACTTTTAAAACAACTTAGAGTCTTCAGAGGTCTTCCAAGTGGAAACTTCTTCAAACTGAAGTGCCACAGTTTGTTTCATATTTTACAACTTTCATTAGTTTATGCAGCTTCTGCCAGATCTTGTTCATGAGTGTGACACATCCTTTGTGGGGGGGATTCTACTGTAGTTGTATTACAAAGTCATGAGAATATAACAATATGCTGATAGCAGTAAGCTGATTTTTGTCTCTTATCAGCCCCCAAAGTGAGTGCTATAGCCTCTCTGATGCAAATTTATTAATTCATCTTTTCTCTCCAGCCCCAAAATAGAACAGGTAATACCATTCAATTAATGAAAGCAAAAGTTCTGTCCTCCTTTGTGACAGGCAGCCTCTTCTGTCCCTCCCCAGGAGGCGAGAATCTAACCTTACTGGCTTTTTCTGAGTCAGAATCCATTTAAATCTGCCACTAGTGTGATTCCCCCGTGGCTCTGTCTAGCTTTCTTAAAAGTTAAGGGCAACTCCTGTCCTAGTTCACTAGGACACACACACTTTGCATGATGCCTTCCCAGATTTAAAGCTGAGGAATTTTCTTTTTCCTCTCTTCACTAGTAATATGAATTAGATTCTGACGCTAGAGAAAACCTGTATTCAGTTGATGTCCAGATCTCATAAGCTGAGTGCTACCTAGCACACAGATGCTTTTGTTTTCAGCTCTATGCTTACATAAGCAGTGGGTTATCCTTTAAGGATATAAGAAGAGATGGTTGATTCTGCAAATGGAGAACTAAATTTCTCGTTTGTTTTCCTTTCCATTGATGTACTCACATTTGACTGTACTAAACCAGTCAAATATAAGAATTCAAAACAAGTAAAATGGCCAGTATTACATACTAAAAAACCCCAAACAAAACCCAAGAAAATAATATTGTTAGGTAAGGGAAGACAGTGTGCACTTCCATTTTGTGACCTGTTCTGAGCACTTGTGATAATAACAAACAATCCCTCTTATTCTTAAAATGACCTGTTTTCTTATGCAGATAAAGTTAGTTGTGCTTTCAGTGTAATTTTATTCTTGCTAACCATTTGTTGTCACTTCTTAGGTGATGTAGAAGAAATAGAAATACAACAAAAACCAGCCCTGAAGGTTTTCAAAAACATTACTGTGATCCAGGAACCAGGCATGGTAGTCCTTGAGGTGGGCATTTGTGAGGGAGAAAGAAGTATTTTGTTCTCCAGTTTCTGAAAAATAGTATCTTATAGATGCCATGCAGAATTAAATGTTTTAAATAGTTTTTTGTTTTATGACAGGTAGAATGAAAGCTAGGACAAAGTTCCCCTTGAGCTATGGTCCTGTGTTGATGCATGCTGTTTCATTTAGCCACTGCTAGTTTCTTTTTTGCCATGGTTCAAGAGCATAATAGCAGGTTCTGTGCCCTTTTTTAGTTTGGCAAATAGTAATTGGAAATAATGTCAAATGGTGTTCCCTCCTTCCTCCCTCACCCAAATAGTTGTGCTAATTAATCACTGTTTCATAAATGTGTTCAGAAACATTCAACAGTTTGAATTTTTCATGGGAAGTTACTGGAATATACCAAGTTAAAAGTAGTTAACTGCCACACATTTTACACCAAATTATTATTTGCAGCTAGAATTCAGAGAAAAGCAAATCGGAGAATGCAATGAATGTTACAATGGTTTTATGGTGCATTATTCATTCAGCCCAAATAATGGACTCAAATTACAATTTACTCTTTTTATCTTCCAGTGGGTGGCAAATCCTGCTAATGACATGTATGCAGACACCGTGACAACAGTAATACTGGAAGTTCAGTCAAATCCCAAAATACAGAAAGGTAGTAAGTTTAGTGTATGCTTATTTAACTGAGGCATTTCTTCTTCATTTTTTTTTTATATCAAGCTTAGAGGGATGTAATGCCTTGCAATAGATTGCAATCCGACTACTGTACTTCCCCTCCTTGTGAAACTTTTTAGGGAGTAAGATTTGCTACTTAAGAACAGAATTACAACTTGGTCTTCATTATTTGTAACATGTTCATTTGTTGAAACTTTCTCTTATATGGCAGCAGGTAGGTGACAGTGGAAAATGTGACCTTATTTAAAATAAGTTAAATATTACTCACTTTAGATTTTTGTGTGTAAACAATTTACGATATCTCATTTAAATGTTTGAGTTATGATTACCATTCATGAGCAGTATTCCTGTCTGTACATGAGAAAGCATCAAGTAGACAATGCTGAAAAAAAGTCAGACAATTAGACACGCAGACCCTGTAACCAGGGTAGTAGTATTGGGTAATGATAGCATCATCAGATACTGGGTTTGATGTTGCTGTTCAGCAATCACAGCAATTTTGTTGGGGTTACTAGCGATTATAGTTTGTATTTTTTTGTTTCACTGTTTTGCTTTTAAACATGTATGCCACTGTGCTAAGAACCCGGAGCAAGTAGTGAATATTGGGTTGGCCACTGAGGATAAATGTTGGCAGCTGGGCAACACAGTAGCATAGATAATTTAATGGTAATCCATTTATCAAAATAAAATAAGGTATTTTTTCTATTTCCTAGGGTTTAAAATCACTTTTTTTTTGCCACTACCTGCATCGTTACTTGCAATATACATTATTATTTTACTTACAAAGATCTTACTGAATTCTGCCTTTGTGTATCCTTGCTCACCTAGTGAAATAAGTAACAGTTGTGTGTCCATCTTAGAGCATTATTCTTCTCCAGTTTGGATGTGGTCAGGCAAGCAGAACCCAAAATTCTATTCCCTGGGTGTTAGAGAAAAGTAATACCATTTGGGTTTTGGTTGAGTTTCTTTGTTTCCCCAGCAAAAGCACAATACGAGTAGTGATCATATTAAATTAATTCCAAGGTCACACCTTAAAAACGCGTAAGCTGTGTCTGTAACGCCCAGCAGGTATGTTCTGGTACCCTAGATAGGGGACCAGTGGCACATGTGACCTTAGTGCCTGTTTTCCTTTGTGTGGAAAATAGAGTACTGGTGAGGAGGTCCTTCTGACATGAACCCAGGATGCATCTGAGATGTGCACTTGAACCTGGAAGCCTTAAAAGCAGTCTGAGATCCTGTGTTATGAATATCGCCCCTTCAGCCTCTGTTAACTCATTCTGTGATCTTCTTGGTTGTAACCAGTTCCAGTGTTAAAAATTCTGTACTGTTCCAAATCTTCTAATTTTACCTAAGGGTTTTTCATGTCATTCAGTATCAGATCCTCTACTGAAGTCTGATGGTCAAGGTCTACGATATATCCTTAAAATAACTGATGGTTTTAAATTACTGGAAACTGGTAGTGAGGGGTCTGGCTTGATCTCTCTTATACATCCCACGTGATGTTTTGTTTGTAACACTTCTAGTAGATTTTTCTTTCCAAACCAGCATGGAAAGCACTGGAGCTATAAGGACAAATAGGTGTTTATTTTCCCTGAGTTACTCCTCTTGTCTTTCTATTACTTATTTTTATAATTATAGATAAAACAGAAAACACTGTTCCTTAGGTGCTTAGCCCTACACCTGAGTCAAGAAATTTGTTAAAAATTCTTTCTCCTGAGTTTATAAATTCATATAGTAGTTCTTCTCTTGTTTTGGGATAAAGCTTCTCCAGGCTCCCTGATCTAAGCGAGTTCAGAGTTTAATTTTCTTATCCTGGTTGTGATTATTTTCAGTGTATATGAGCCCTTCCGTTCTACTGCAACTAACCAAAAATAGGAATTTTATTTTTGGATGGTACTTTGACCTCCTGTTTTTTCCCCCCTATCTTTCTTTGTATGTCTGGAGGAAATCATGTATTGTTTCACTATTTCTTTTCTGTAATATCTGACTTGGCCTGACTTTTGGTAGTCCCCACTTTATCTGTACAGTCTGCTACTGACAATATCTAGCTTTTTTCCCCCATAATTAATTCCTCTTTCTATTTTTATTTGCCTTTTTGCATTATTTCTCATATTGTTTCATGGTGGTGATTCTATCAGCTAATCTCAGGTGTGGCTTCTTGCAGGCTTTTTTTCCTTTTATTTGGGGTAAAAACACATTCCACATAGTTCTTGCACTTGTGTAGAGTTATGTCCACAGGATCACAAATGCTTGAATTTAAATATCTTAAGTTATTGTTTCTCAGCTGAGCATGTGCCTGCTCTTACCTCATTTCCAATATAAATTTGTTTTGCTTAGTACATTCAGTTACTGCATCTTATCTAAGGGATGGTAAATTTTTAAGATGAGCTTGCTTGGTCTCTTGCAATTATGAAGTTCTTCAAAGAATTTCCAAGTTATTCTAACTGCTATTGTGTTCAGTTCTCTGAACTGTTCAGATGACTTAAAAATCTTGAAAAGTAGTTTTTAAAAAGCCTTCCTTTAAATAAACTCTAGTTGTAGATCTGTTTTGTTTATTCATCAGTGAAACAGGTAGTGATTTTCACAACTAGCTCTTCCTATAGACTTACTACTCCTTTAATGATCAAATACTTAAATAGTAAAAGCAAGTCATATGTTTTAAACTATTTCTTGATTTTGAAACTAAGTATAAGAGTAGTATCATTATTTTTATTTCAAACTCTGTATCCTGAAACACATTGCAGGAATGTCTGTGCCTGTTACTACTACTCACGCTTGCTGTCCAGTTTTACTTTATGTATTCTCTGCCTGCCCCTAGCCTCCATGATTCAGTATTTTCCTATAACAATAGAAAATTGAGGGATTATAAAAAAAAAAAAAAAAAACCCCATGAAAGTGGATTACTTTCACTTTTAAGTAAAGGAAATGTGAGAAGTAATGAGCATTAACCATAAAAAGGAGAATTGAGAAGTGAGAATTAAGACTTGCAAAGCTATCTACTTAAAAATGTGTAAGTATAGGGAACATAAATTTTAAGTATATGTGCTTCCTTGAGTCTTCTGTCTTTTTTTAATGCATTTTCTTTATAATATTTTTTAACATATATATCTTATATAGCTTTTAGATTGTTTATCATGAGAGTGGTAGGAACCAGATTTTATCAATTAGCCATTTTTCCCTCCCAGTAAACATCTGTGAAAATGAAGTGACTTTTTCTTTTCAGCTGCAGTACATAAAATTTCCAAAAAAGTAGATATGGATGTGTATAGGAAGAGAATGGAGATCATGCTTCAGTAAGTTGGCATATATTTTTCTAAAGGAAAACTTAATCATGTAAATACAATAATTTTTAGTATAATCGGTGTAAAGATACAGTTACTTAAAAATACTGTGCGCAAATTTAATTCAGTCTCATTTCTGTGAAGGCCAGGAATTAAGTAAAGAAAGAGGTACAGTAAAAAACAGTTCTCAGCATCATTAAAATTTTGAATACAGGGCCCAGTTACTTCTTCCAGAAGCGAATTTTTAAGTTGTGTCCCAAAATTATGCTACGAATGCTTATGAAAATACCATTTTGGATCACTTCTCTTCCAAAACTTACTCTAATGTATGTTCTTTTATTTATGTAGAACTCTTACCTCTTTTTGAAATCAGAGGCATCCTTCCCTTCATTTACAATGATTTTTTTTTTGTGTAAAATACTTACTGTTATATGACACCCACAGGCATAATAATTTAGTATTTGGTATTTGTTAATTATATCTGAGTGGATTAAATAATACTTGCTGAAAGGAGGTACTCTGCTGACAAAATGCCTTTGGAAGCCTAAGATTAATAGAAAGAAAAATGTATGTTTGCTGTTTGGCCACGTCTTACATGCATAGATCTTTGTTTTAGGGATATGTTTGGAGAAGACTGTGTGAGTTCAAAAGATGGCTCTGTCCTGTGCATCACAGTTGATGGAAAGACTGCAAACATTTCACTGGACACTCGGGTACGTACAGCAAAACACTTGCTTTTGTGTGCACTATGTTTAGCAGAGGCATTCTCCAGTTTAGTATACAGTGCTGCCTAGAATACTGTGTACCCATTTGCTAAGGAAATGGTTTTGTATTTGGTATCAAAACATCTAAAGCCTATTCACTTTCCATTAACTCCTTTGATGTTCTCATCAGTTAGTCAGTACCCAGCCTTTCTGAGAGAAATACTGATCCAGCCTGCAAGCTGAGTTTACTGAGTTTGTTAAAAAAGCAGTTGCTAGAGAGTTTTCTTCATTAAAAAAAAATGCTACTAATGTTTATGTAACAAATGCAGTAAATTCTGAAGAAAACCCAGTGTTTTTCAGCAGCTCTCTGCTTGTATAAAAATGAAAACAATGCTGTCTTATGGGTATGGGAACATCAGTGTGGAGACTCCCTGAGTACAGGTACCTCTACCTCTGTGACGAATGCACGTGTTTTACAATATTAACCTAATACAGTGCAGATGACTTCACAGATTAAATCTCCAAGGTCTGAACATTGTGTGGTTTTATTTGATTTTGAATTAAATGTAATCTACGGAACTTCATGCATTTTACATAGTAGTTTTGAAACAAGTTATTAATCAAACATAAAACTCAAGATTAAGCTGCTTCTTCCTCAGCAAGACTTGCATAAACCTTCTCTGAACTCTTCTACATGTTGGCAGACCATTCAAAAACACACAATGCCACTCTTGAGAACTTTCTTTTCAGTTTGCATGACTACTATTTCCTTTTCCCTTATGAGCATTCTTCACATGCTGAAAAGGAATATGAAGTGTGGGTTGTTCTAACATACTTCTTTTCTTGTTCCCAGACAGTTGACTGTGAGCCAGGAAGCGAAGATGACGAATCCCTTCGTGAAATGGTCGAATTGGCTGCACAGAGGCTTTATGAGGCCCTCAGCCCAGTTTACTGACCTCTGTAGATACCTAGGACACAAAAAAAAATCTTTTAAATGTTCAATTTGTTTGGACTATTTTTAAAGAGTAAATAAATTTTTTTTCTTCAGTAAGTCAAACGTATCAATTCTGTGACACTGCTGAGGTATTTAAAACAATGGATGAGCGACCTTATGACAACTATATTTGTACATAGAGATCATAATAGTCAGGCAAAGTGTGCATATGTTCTTTTTTCTTATGTGCACATACAAGAAATAGGTTAAGAATAGGTTAAGAATTTTCTATCTCAATGTAGAATTAAAAAAATTACAGTGAGAGCGCTTTGTGTTTTGAAGATTAACAGCCTGCTGGAGGATAAGTTGGATGTTCTGGGTTTGCATATGCTCAGAATCAAGCTTGTCTACAATTTTGTTCCTGTCAAGGAAGCAATTACCTACACGCTTGTATCTGCTTGAAGTCAAAGGGGCCTTGGACACTTTTCAAATGGGATCCATGTTTGCATACTGGGGTTAATTTGAGCTTTAAAGTACATATGCAGCACTGGCTGCAGCCACCCTTTCGGCGGGGGGGGGGCACACATCTGCT